ACATGCCTCCACTCTCACCGTGAGGGCATCCAGTGCAAATCCATGGGTGGTAATCAGCTCCTGGTGCTCTCTCAACTCATCCCGGATAGGAGCTAAGGCAGCAGCAATAACCCTGATCTTGATCTATCTCGGGAACAATAGCCTCTACCCGGGAGGCACGCACATCATGGATTGGGTCAATGGGAGTCGGGAAACAGCAACAACAGAACTGGGAGTAGCAGAACGGGCAGTAGCAGAATTAGAGGGTGCAGTAGTAGAAGTGTCAGTGGTACCTGAAGGCTCACCGGCCTGAGTAGGAAGGGCTGGATCTATCAGAAACATCTCCATATCAACCACCTGGTAAGTATCCATCGGTGCAACTCTCCTCCATTTGGCCTCATCTCTAGTGTACTCGGCCTCTATCCTCCTGATGTCAGTAGAGGAAGTGGGAGTCGCTTCCACATCTGTCTTCTCTATCAATGGCACCCGAGCACGTATGCACAACTCTGTGATTAATACCAGAAATAGGAGAGAAGTCTAACTCTGCTTGACCTTCATGGTCATCTCTTGCTCAATGATCAAACCGAGATTTAGTCTATCCGGTCCATGATGGAGCCCAACAATGCATCTTTAGGATGCTTGAGTATGGACTCATTCTGTGATGGCATTAAGGTGTTGCTGATAAACCCGAACCAGTATCTGACAGCCACGTTTAGATCCTTCTTCTCTATCGGGACACCTGCCTCAATCCATGGAGGTATGATATCAGAGATCAACGGAGAGAGCCAATCCATCAAGTTGTCAATGGTCATCTTTTGTATCTGATCCACCAAGTAGTGGATCACATTCAGTGTACACCAAAGCACCTCATTTATGTCGGTGCTGCTGCATTTGACTTTTCTGCCGCGTACCACCACATGGTCAACCGGAGCAAATGAACTGGCCTTCTTCTTCCCCTTTGACACCAACTTCCCATACTCGGTATATAACTCTCGAACCCATGAAGGAATGTAGGAGACACAAAGCTTGGTGAAAATCTCAAATTTGTGGAACTTGATAGTGTTCCACACCTCAGGATATCTGTCTACTACAACTTTGGTAGACAATCTCTTCTCTTCTAGAATTGTCCTCAATATCGCGACCTTCAGTCTGTTCAACGACCGGGTAGAGGGTGCCTGAACTGGTGGCACCGGAGGTATATGCTCGATTGTCTAAGCTAGAGGTGGAGGAGGCGTATGAGGCTTTGTGATCCTTGTTGGATCATGTAATAACTTAGAGCGAAGCTCCGCTCTCCTTGTTTGTAGAGTCTGATCGTCCTCCGGCTCAGACATGGAGATTGGAAAAGACACATGGTTTATATCAACATTGAAGGCATAATCTTTGTTTTGCCCAATAAGTAGGTCCTACCTCATTCATAAGTATACCACCGATATGAAATATTAAATTTATGTACTAAGTGTCCACTACTTTGGAACAATTGAAATATGCAAAGTTTAATAAGCCAACTATTGTTCATGAAATCAGTTATTAAAAATCGCCACCAATACGGAAATTAAGTTCACGAGTAAAGAAAGAGTACCTTGTGTAGTCAATTTCTTCTCCTTTGAACTCTTTTCAGATGGTATGAATCAAACCCTAGAAATATATACAAAATCGATAATATTTTGAGATAAAAATGAGAACCTTAATACTTTTTGATGAATCAGTAACTAACCTTCAAACCATGATGACTTTGTAAATTAATAGTGAAAATCTTAATTTTACTCAACAATATCTACACATGAAGGAGACTCAACAGAGAAAAATGCTTTACACTTTGAAGGTTAAATTTTAAACCTTTTGCCACGGTAGAATTTGATTTCATGTGACAATTTATGTGGCATTGCTGTAAAAAATAGTGAGAATGTAATATACACACCATCACATATTACTTGATGTATGTTTTTCAAACTAATGAATGACAGTTTAGGTGTGTTTCTCACTCTCTTAATAATTTATGTATGAAACTTAAAAAAATGTATAGTTTAGGTGTGTTTTTTACCCTTATCTCTTTATTTTTTTGAGTTTTTAGTACAAACACAGAGTCTACACAAGAGTTATTGCGTTCGTCCAAATTCCCATGTTACATTGTAGCTCTACCCCTAATCTTTTTATGTCACGCCCCAAACTCGAGGGGCGCAACTGGCTCCTAATGCCAAAACTCAGGCCCGAGCGGACCCTGCTGAACCATTTGCTACTAGCGCATGGCAGCCACACGCAATCAAGAAATCAAACAAGTATATCTCGGCTTAAAACTAAGCCATCGGCCGGCAAGCCCCCTGTCAACTAATCTATAAAAGAAACAACCACTCCTAGGAGATCATATAAATAAATAGCCAACTAGCACAGAAGTCCTGATAGGGCCGTCGAGGCCACCATGATATCTATACCAAAATTAAAAGCAAGTATATATCAATACAATACATCAAATAGCTCACAAGCTTCAACAA